CTGTGGGGTCCTTGGAGGGTTCCCTATCAACCAATGTGGTTGAGTCAACTCCGTTCTTCACACTGGGTTTTGGTGGTAACCAGTGTCCTAACTGCTGCTGACCTGGGCTTCTCCAACCCTGGGTGGTAACATCTGCCTCGCCCAAGTGAGGTCCACTGGACCACTTTGCCTTGTGGAAATCACAACCGAGGACTGGAACGTGTTTTTTTTTTTTTTTTCTGTTTTTGTTTTGATACTCAAAATTGAACTCACAACCTTGTGCTTGCCAGGTAGGCACTGTGCCACTGAGTGTATCCCAGGCCCGGCTGCTGTGAGTGTTCCCCACCACACCCCACTAAGCAGAGGCAGGGGAGGGCACAGGAAGCTGGCACTGGGGCTTCCCTGGCTCCCTCCGTGAGCAGAAGGAAGGCCTGCCCAGACAGCTCAGGACAAGCAGGAAGCTCAGGGCTGGCCCAAGGGCTGAGGTTTTGAGCTCTGAGCAGGAGTGGTGACACCTCCTGCCCAAGCCCCCAGTCCAGATGGGGCAGTGTCCACAGTGATCTCTACCTCCTCCTGGCCAACCTTCCTCCAGTCCAAGTCTGTTGGTTGGAATCACAAAAAGTAAATTTTATCACAATGTTCTTGTTGATGCTTAGACTTGCGGCATTGCTGCAAACAGTGAGGACCTCTGTGCGTGAAGTTGCGTTCTTCATCCATCAGCTCACGTCAGGTTACACTTCGGTTACATCTGGTCTCAGTGATAGCTGATGGTTCTCACTGAAACTGCATATAAAGTCATGGGAAGTACTGAAATTCAGGTAACAGTGCATGTGCATAGGTGTCATCGTCTCTCCAAAACAGTTTAAAATGAAACTCGGAGCCCAACTGGAAACGCAGAGAAACCTCACAGTCCCTATAGGGGAGAAACCTATAAGAAGCATCCCCACCTTTAGTGAAGTTACTAAGAATGAATTACGAAGCTGAAAGCTTTCTAAATTTTCCCAGTGAAGCATCCTCCATGTAGCGCTGTCTAGCACACTACAGCAGCTGGCTGTCACCTGTTTTCATAAAGTTTCATTGGAAGACGACTCTCCTCCTTTACCGATATCTTGTCTATGTCTGCTGCTTCCTGCAAGAACAGAACTGAGGAGTGTGTCAGGGACTGTATGAGCCAAAAAGCCCAAAATATTTAGTTTGGTCCTTGACAGAAAATGTTTGCTGATCTGGGCGCCACATAAAAGAATGAACTGCATTCTATAGACTTCATAGAAAATATGACAACTGTCTTAAAAAGCAGAGACCAAAGAGTCTGCTGTCAAAAACTATAAGAAAAAGTGTATAATGTAATTATGACAGGCAGTTAACTAATAGGACATGTTATGCTTTGTGATTTTAAGACATTTCATGGTATTTTCAGCTCTTTAAAATTTGTAATGTATTGTGATTTTCTCTGAATACTCATGCTTCTGTTTAATTTTGCATCAGATATTTTCAATTCTTAAAGGAATCATGATTGTATTATTTTCAGACTCCTTAAAACCTGGACCACTCTAGCTAAATAGTTGTTGATACCAAAACCTGTGTGATGATATTTTAGAGAACAATTCTTTTTTGTCTTTGTGAGATAGGATCTCGCTATGCAGTTCAGACTGGCCTTGGGCTCACTTTGTAGTCCAGGCTGGTCTCGAACTTGCAGCGATCCTCCTGCCTCAGCCTCCTAAGCATACAAGTGTGCACCATCACACCTGTGTTGAATAAAAGAAAGCTGTGTATTTCAGCTGAACTCACTATGAGCACTTTAAAGTCTCACCACTGCACAGAAGATGGAATCTAAGAGGGTCAAGGCTGATGAGGGCCTAGAGGAGATCGGGTGGCAGTACCTGACAATACACTCACAGTGGAGTATGACTGCTCAGACCAAAGCCAGGGAGTGCTTAGAACTGCCCTACTTTCTGAAGAGCTCGTCCTCTGCTAATTGCAAAATAAGCAGCCTACCAGGCCACCTCTCATTCCCACTGTGAAGGGCATGGTGTGAAGATGGCATTGGTCCCCACACACCTCTGCAGCCCGGAATCAACTGCCACTCCAGAGCCCAGGCTCCTACCACTGCTCTGGCCACAGCAGATGAATGAAGGGCAGATGCCACAGACCTGGCTACGGCATCAGGGACGCGCTGCCAGATGGAGCAAAACAGTGAGCTCTTTTTTTATCACCAGGAAAATCAACCTGAAAGGCCGCTTCTCCGCTGCCCTACTGGGTCACATGTCCACCTCTGAGCCAATCACAAGCAAGCGTGAAGCCCAGCCCATGTGTCAGTCGTGTGCACACATCCTGCGCCAAACACAGGAAAGCCAAGTAACTCTGACTTCATACACAAAACAATCCCGTTGAAGTGACTAAGTTCTCTCTGTTGGGGTGCCCCAGCAGAACCCTGAAAACACCTTAAAGTGATCAGGAGGACCTTGAGGACATACACACACACTCTTCACCTGCAGCTTCTAGGCTAGACCTTATTGCCTCCGAGGGCTCTTGGACTCGGGTAGGAGCTCAGCATACCTGAGCGCCAGCAGGAGGCCAGGGAGCTTAGGGAAGTAATGGGTCAGGTGACCAAAAAGGGCCTGGGGGAGGCAGCAGAGAGCACTGCCCCTGTCACCTGCTTAGAGACAGATGAACTCTGGGAAAGGTGCACTGCCAACACCTGATGCCTCCCCTTTGGAAACAACAGCCCTTCCCAGAAGCCTGGGGCAAGTTTCTCCCCAGAGCAGGCACTTTTAGCCTCACACCACTCTGGCGAGGCAAAAGGAGGCGGAAGGTAAACTAGTCATCAGTGGCTAAAGAGTGAGTCAGTCACGCTTATGTAACAAAGCCTCTACAAAACCCGAAAGGAGAGGATGTCCAGGGCTTCCCGGTAGCTGACCAGATGAAGATTCCTGCAGGGTGGTGCATTAGGAGAAGGCTGTGCTTGGGTACATATCATGCCCTCTGCACCCCTTCATCCGGGTCCTTCCTGGTATCCTTTGCAATCAACTGTAAACCTCGGTTGGGTGAGATGCTATGGGTTGGTGAGATGCTGATGCCAGTTAATGGAACCTGAGGAGGGGCTTGTGGGATCCTGATGTGTAGCTGCTGGTCAGAAGTGCAGGTAACACCTTGGGCCCTTCAGTAGGTGCTGAAAAGCACCACCATTTTGCCCCAAGGCTGGCAGTCTTGGGACTGAGCCCTCTGCCTATGGGATCTGAGATTATTTCTAAGTGGAAGGTGTCACCATTAAATTGGATTAGATGACATCCTGCTGATGTCAGCCATGGAGCCATGGAGCAGATTACTTGCTGCTGGGAAGAAGTCCCCACACATCTAAAGTGATCTGTGTCTTGAGAGTTCAGAATAAACTAAGTCCGAGTTTTGTTTTTCCACTGTATCTCCTTAACGTCTAAATGCAAATACATTCAAATATATCATGTGGGCTTATTTGGATTTTAACTCAAAGTATTAACTATAAAAAAGTAAAAGCAGAAACAGGTATGTGACACTTGGGGAAATCTAAGTAGTGGATATTGTCCAAAGTTTTGTTTGTTTGTTTTCTAGCACTGGGATTGAACCCAGGGCCTCCTCATACATGCTAGGCTGTATTGTCATTAGTAAAGATTTTCAGTTTCATTTTGTAGGCTGGGATAATGGAACTGTGGTCTGTTAGAAGAAAGAGAACATCCTTATCCTTCAGAAATGTAATCTTGTGCTGCCTTGCTGTGGAAATGGCCTCCATGGATTTACTCTCTGCTTCTGGGTCATTTGCATATCCACACCTACGTTACTTCTGGTTTGGCTGCATGACTTATTTTGTCTAATGAGACATTAACAAACACACTTCAAGCAGGGGCTTGAGAAGCACTTGTACACCGGGGCTTGCCTTCTCTTGCCTCTGAGAGCTCTTGGAATGCAGCCTCTGCAGGAGCAAGCCCAAGCTAGCCTCCTGCAAGTCCGCGTGGAGAACCGAGACACCTCTCCCGGCTGCCAGACTGTGAGGGAGACCTTCAAAGACGGCTCAGTCCAGGTCAAGTCACCAGCTGACTGCATCCTCACGAGAGCCCGGACAACATTGCCAGAAGAGCCATCCAGCTGACCCCAGCCCGACTGGTAACCCACAGTGTCATGACCTAACAGTGCTATTTCAAGACACTCACAACGGATAGGCAATAGATGTGTGTACATAAAGTTACAGATGTCTGGGCATTTGCCCAAGGTAGGGTGAACGAAGGTATCAATGAAAAACAGTTTTTGGCTAAAAGCTGATAACTACTGTTCAAGTTGGTGAGGGGCTCACTTCTCTAGTCTCTTTGCCTTTGCTTATGTTTGACATGGAAACTTCCATAATAAAAATAAAAGAATTTAAAAAGTAGAGGAGGAATAAAAGAGAATAAGTCTTCTATTTATAGATAAAGCAATTGAGACACAAAGAAGAGAAGTGAGTTCCAGTGCAGAGCATGGCCAGGCCTTAGCAGAATTCACTGCAGAACTGAGCTTCCCCGACGATGCCCGGGCCAGGGCCTTTCCAGCATCCCACGTGCTCAGAGCCAGCACAGTTACCAGGAGAAACAATGCAGGGAAGAATAGCCTGTCTCTCACTTGAAAAAATACCTGGTCACGGGTCTAAGATGTTAGGAGGTGGTGAGACCTTTGATGACAGACGGTTTTATTTGTGTGATGTATTGTTGGTGTCAGGGGAACAAACCTAAGAGCAAATCTGTTCAGCCTTGTAGGTACATTATAGCACATGAAAGTCAGGGAACGGTTCCTTTCTACACTCTCCCTGTCGCCTCGGCACCAAAAGCTTGCTCTGTTTTCCAAAATGGGTAGTAACTGTGAAGAAGATAACCAGGGCTATGCTACAGTGTGCCGGACATCAATACTAAAAACTCATCTTCAAGTCCAAATATATTAAAGTTGTTTCTTTCCCACATGTACAAAATGAGCAAAGCTTTCATTATTCATCAAATGAGAAAATTAAGCACTGCAATTATCTGTCTATTGCCCCAGGACAGACTGGGCATCGTTTAATCAGACATTGCTATGTGAAGCTTCAGACTGCGCCTGACCATAAACAGACATTAAAGAGGTTACTTAATGAAAGAAAACACACACACACAAAACCCTTCCAGGTCTTCATAGCCGGTGCTGGTTTCCTTGAGAACTTCTGAACCTCAGAGCTCAGCTGGAGTTTAGGGGGAGGACAGAAGATTCTAGAAGGTGATAACTGGGCCTGTAACCAAACAGCCAAACACAACAAAGCTAAGCGAAACTGCAGGCTTTCTCGTAACCAAACTGCCTCGCTTTTCTTGGGAGTGGCGCTCGCGGAGAGGACCACAGGGCTCCGTAGTTATGTTTGATGACTGGTCTGAAATCCTAGAGCCTCAGAGCCAGCTGGCAGAGCTGGGGGAGGCCTGTGGGTTGCCGAGGGCAGGAGTTGGGAGGGCTGGCTGTAGCTTAACCGTGGTCCTGCAGCTCAGTCACTGTTGGACGTAGAAGAACACTGGGTGAGGGAGGAAGGGACCCCAGTGTTCCTTCCTTGAGAAGCCACCACACCCCTGCCTCTGCCCACCACACCCCTGCCTCTGCCCGCCACACCCCTGCCTGAATCCTTGAGAGCTTTGAGTTTCTGCAAGTTGGACTCAGTGGTCATATTGATGCTTCCTGTTTCACACAGTTTATTTCATGTACAGAAGTTTTCAGGTCAAGGGGCCCCTGGGTGGAGACGGGAGGAGGAGGTTGGTGGTTCTGAGCCCGTCGAGGTTAAGGTCACTCGGAGTTCCCAGGCTTATGGACCGGAGGGCCACGTGTCCAAGCCTGCTTGGTGTGGCCAGGGGGGGTCCTTCCTCCCTCTCATACCTGGGTGAGGCACAGGGGTAGATAGACCTGGTGGCCTTTTTGTCTGCAGCTCTGGTAACCTGCATCCTCGATGCCCAGGACAGCAGCTCCCAAGTCACTCTGCCAGAGCCCTCTTTCCTGGGCACTGGGAAACTGACCAGGAAATTCACCAATTTCCTCTCCCTCTCTTTTGTCCCACATCCCCTTCGCGCAGCTGCGCCTCTGCAGGGCGCACATGGAGGGCGGTGAGCTAAGACAGCCTTCCACAAGCCTGGGGAAAATAACCACTTGCTGGACAGTCAGTCCCCACTGGCCCCGCCCTGGATCCCGCAGAGGCAGGTGCACCCACGACACAGCGGTGAGGCTGCGGCCTCGGCCTCAGTGTGGGGTGCACACCAGGGTGAGGGCTTCCCGGGGGACGTCTCCTCAGGTCTGGAGCTGTTTCAAAGGGAAGCTGAGTTGTGTCTGCCAAGCGCTGAGGGCCCAGTGCCTGTCATGGTCAGCGAAAGGTCTATGCTGTGCCAGGGAAGGGAGCACTGGAAGCAGTCCCAGGAGAGACTCAGAAGGCGCCAGGGAACAGCCAGACACTCCTCAGACGGGGAGAGGTCAGTGCTTCCGACCTCGCTCACCACGAGGGCTGCAGGACACGGCCCCTGACGCCAAGGCACTGCCGCTCTCCTACGGGGACGACCTGGTCCCCTAGAGCTCTGGGGGGCAGTCCTTGCTCCAAGACAGTGACCTGGATCTGCAGCCAGCCCACAGACAGAAGCGGGCCTCCCGGGACCGGCGGGCACATGGTGGGCAGAGGCGGTGGCTAGGCGGCCTGGGCAGGGTCTAGGAGAAGCGAGGAAGGGTCTCCCGAGGCTTCCGAGGAACAGCGCCAAGGACCTCACCTGGGCACAGCTGGGCACGGGTCTCAGGCGTCAGAGCCGCGTTCCCCACGGCGGGCGCTAGGGGGCAGGGCGGGGCGGCGCGAGGACTCGACAGGGTCCGAGGTGCGGGCGTGGAGACTGCAGGGGAGGTGACTCTGGGCTCCTGCGCGGCCGGTCCACCGCCGGGGTTCGCTAGGCGTCCAGGAGAGGCTCGGTAGCGGGCGGTCCCCAGCACCCCTCACCCAGCATCCAGCACCCAGCACCCAGCACCAGCCCGGGCTGGCCCACTTCCCCTGCTTGCGCAGCCAGGCAGGTGAGAGCCGAGGGCAGGGTGCGCACAGCGGTCCCCTCCCCACCCCTGCGGCTGGGGCGCAGCTCAGGGAGGAGGGGAGGATGGGACAGAAGAGAGAAAGAGGAAGGAGGAGAAGGGCAGAGAGGAGGCCCCAGGGTCAGGGAGCGAAGGGAGGAGGGGCGGGGTGGGGCGCAGGGGGACCCCACCCCTGCTATTTCTGGGCCGGGCCAGCTGCAGAGGAAATGTGGAAATGCTCGCAGGGCAGCGCACCCCAGCGCACCCCGCTGCCCCTGCCTGACCGCGGAGGTCCAGGGTTCCAGCCGCACCATCCCCACCCTCCCCATCTCTCCGCCTTGTGCAAGCCCCGTGGCCTGGAATGTGGTGGCTCTGGCCTGAGTTGGCTGAGCTGGACCTTCTCTAGGCGCGGGCGTCCTCAGAGACCACTTGTTACTAGGTGACCGCGTCTCAGGGATCTCGGGCCCCACAGCCGCGTGGACAACGCGGAGAGAAAGTGGCTGATGTTGGATGGCAAGACCTGGCACCAGGAAGCATGGGCCTCTCACGGTCACTTGAGAAGTTTACAGCGACTGGCATCAGACCTGCCTGCTTCGCCCTCCTCACCCCTGCATAGGCGTCCACCGATTACTTAGGTTCATTAGTGTGTATAAAGAAAGCTGGTTCACAAACAGTCCCAGCAGGAAAGGATGTGTGTTGACCCGGCGCTCCTTACCTGCACACAAGAGCTTTGTGTGTGAAGGCTGAAGGCACATAGGGCACACACACACACATGCACAGGCACGGCAACAGGCTCTCTTCCCAAATGGGGACAGGATAGAGGAAGAGCTTAGGGGCAGTTAGTACTCACCAAGCCCCATGTACTCATCTGAGTTCTTGTCCTGAATTAATTCATTAATTTTCACTGGAGGAGCTGAGACAAGGGAAGGTTAAATTGTCCTTCCAGGATCACAGAGCTATGAAGCAACGTTCAAGATTTGAACCTGGCTCTGGAGCCAAAGGGTAATAAGATTTCCTGCTTTTCTATGTGTATTGCTCCATAAATTGTGTGTATTTTCTGCAACCATTGGAGATTCTGGAAGGAGCTGGTGGCTGTGTGTCCTAGAGATCTTTTAAAATAGGTATTAAGGAAGCAGCAGGTGAAAGAGTTTTGCCCTAGAATAAATTACAGGACATTATGGCAGTAGTTCAGCATCGTGGAAGGCCAAATCGGGGATGCTTACCCTGACGGCCACTTCCTCCTTCTTCCCTGATTACAGCTTCCTCCTTCCCTTCCCCGTGCTCATGAAGAAAATTCCAATCAGCTCCTCGCATCATCAGTGTCCACCCCAAGCACCACATCCGGTCAAAGGTCCCACATCCCCATAACCAGTCAGAGGAGAAAGCCAAACTCTTGCTGGTTATGGGCTCCTCTCCATGTCCTTTAAATAAAGAGGGCACTTTGACTTTTTCTTATATTCTTCTCCTGTATTGGGCCAGAAAACTCTAACAGTGGGATCTTGCATTCATTTATGAGTCAAAGTACCACACTGGACCCCCACCAGTAGGTACCCTCAGTCTCTCTGAGGTCTGGGAATGGAAAAGAGGGAGCACCCAGACCAGGAGCAGAAGCACACACAGGCCGCAGAGACCAGCATCGTAATATTTGGGGACATCCCCAGGAGCCTGGCATCAGAAGAGGACACCCAGCCTGGTGCTTAGTGGCTCTGCCTGACTGCAGCCTTGTCCTGCTGTGGCTGCGTATTCCGTGGTGGCCTAAGTGCCCCAGTAAACCCACTTCTGCCTTTGACCTGTGATGGTCTCTTGACCTCTGCTCAGTTTTCCGGGATGGTGCCTTTAGAGCCCTCAAAGTTCTCTGAGTGCCCATCGATAAAATCCCTTTCTGTTTTATGGTCACTGCTGTAGGGTCTAAGCTGTCCTATCTGGTACATATGATGGATTAGTCTCAAATCTTTTAATTTTTGCCAATCTGATAGGCCAAAGCGGGGGAGGAAAAGTACTTCATGGATTTAATTTACATTTATTTGCTTTTCACTAGGGAGGTGAGGGTGGAGATCGCTGACTTCAAATAAAATCCATTTTACAAAGTTATGGCCAACATATCTGGAGCTAGGCAGAGGCCACGGAGGTGGACTGCACTTTCCGGCCTGCCTTGAGGTTAGGTTGGTCCTCATGGCCACGTCCTCACCAGCAGAGTGAAGAGTCCCGTGGAAGGAGCTGCTTCTGGTTGGGGGCTGTGCAGCTGGGGGTGTCTGCTCCACGGTGCCTGGGGTCCGGCTGGGGCAGCAGCCCAGTGCAGGATCAGGGTCCAAAGGGAGAGCTTAAGACCTTAGACTTTTAAAATTATTTTCACCAGGCTCAAAGATGGTACGTCGCTTTGTGGTTTTAATGAGCTAAACATTTTGTGCAGTGTTGCAAAGCAGGAAGAGAACTCTTGTAATTTGAAAACAGATATTCCTTGATTTACAATAGGTTTATAAATCAGTAGGCGCACTGCAACTTGAAAATGTCCTGAGTTAGAAACATACATGATTCGCCTGGCCCCAAGAGCTGCTCAACCACACAACATCCCGCAGTGTTGGCTGCTGACCCTCATAATGCTATGGCACTGACAACAGTGCCTCGTCACTGTCGCCTAAGGATCACACTGAAGATCAGTAGCCCCAGAAAGATCAAGGTGCAAAATATGATTTCTACTAACAGTATAAACTTAGGCACCATCATTAAGTCAGAAAATTGTGAGTACCGGCACCATGACCTGGGACCACATCGCTACCCATGTATCTATATCTCTGTATCCATCTGTCTGTCGGTCTGCCTGTCTCCTAATTGGTTCTGTCTCTATGGGAAACCTAAGATGGAAAAGAGGCTCCAGGCTCTGTGTGACTGGGTTTCTCTGTCACCCAAGTGGAGCCTTACCCTAACTCATCTGGAGGTGGATGGGTTTCCACTGCTGGTTTGGATTCTGTGACCTTTTTGAGCTTTAAGGTCTGGACCTTAATCATCTTCATGTGCTTCTCTGCACATAACTCAGCGCATTAACCTTTTGGTCATAATATTTGTTGCAAATTTGTTGTGATGGGTCTCTGGTCTCTTCTCTTCATCTTGGGCAGTTTTTATCCTAGGGAATACACTGCAGCTCTCTGTGCTTCAGACAGAAATCCAGCTCACTCTGGTGCACTGCAGAGGCTGTTGACTGAGCTACCCACCTGCCCGTGCTCTTCACAGTACTTGAGGTTCCTACAGTAAACAGAAGACACTGTCAATTTGTGTCCTTCTGTACAATTTTAAAATGCTCTCCGGGTAAGTCCTCCAGAACTCTGGTTAGGTCTGTGCCCCGATTATGTCATTGTTACCATTGCAAATTTTGCCTTCTTCTGCTTGTGGTAAGGAAAAGGGGTTGGTTTCTACCTTTGGTCTGAGTCGTCTCGCCCTCTGACTGACTCCTACATCCTGTCAAACATGCCCCAGATGGTAATTCTGCTAGTTTTAATGTCTCTGTCAATTCCTACGTTATTCTGATTCTCCTGCACGCTCTTGGTTTCCTTCAGACGTTAGGGATTCTAGATCATCTGATCCCATCTGATCAATGAGGGCCAGGATGGTGGCCCTCAGCCTATGAGCCATAGATTTCTGGGGGAGAGGAGGCAGGGCCTTTTTCAAGGTCATCCACAAGGTCAAAGGAATAACAAGGTGCTTTCTTCCTTCATGGATGCTCAGTGAGTTTTCCAGAGTCTACAACCTATGTGATCCCACAATAGCTTGAAAGCAGAGCAGATATGAAAATCCAACTGGTGATAAACCAGAGTCTGGAAAGATTTTTTAAAAATATAAAAGAATATTATTCTTCTTACTAAATAGTTTTTTAGAAAAGCATAGTTATTTTCATAAATATTATTTGAAATAGCATACCATTGTTATTATTAAATGAATAAATAAATGTTTTCTCCAGGTGAACTTCTGCTGTGTTAAATAGTAAAAGGTTTAACCCATGGCAATGACAGCCTCTCCAGCAGTCAGATTTCTCAGTTTTCCATCTGTCAGCTTCCCATCACTGTAACAAATTCCTGAGACACCGGAAGGAAAGGTCTGTTTCGGCTCACGGTGCTGGAGGGTTCAGTCCGTGGTTGCTTGGCCTCATCTGGGCTGGAACAACGCCACACCTTGGGAAAGAGCACGTGGCAGGGCCACTCACGCTGCGTCCAGGATGCAAAGAAGAAGAGAAAGGGCCAGGGCTGCACCATTTCCTGCCAGGGCCCACACCAAATGACCTGAAGACCTGAAGACAAATGACCCGAAGACCCTCCGACCCCACCTGCTGGAGGTCCTGTCGCCTCCCAGCAGTGCACTAGTGCCACCCTGAGGACCAAACATTTTTTGTTTTCAGTACTGGAGATTGAACCCAGCCCTTTTTACATTTTGAGACAGGATCTTTCTAAATTGTTAAATTGCACAGGCTAAGCTTGAACCTGTGATCCACCTGCCTCAACCTCCCAGAGTGCTTGGATGATAAGTATGCAGCACCACACCCAGCTGGGAACAAACCTTGACCTTTGAAAGACATTTTAAGATACAAATTGTGGTGGAGAGTAGGCGTTTCTGAGCCAGCATGTCTAGGAATGTTGGTCTTGCCTGATGGCACTCACTGTGTGGGACACTTCTTCAATTACTGAACCTGCTTTCTGGCAAGGACTGTCCAGCAACTCTGGCACCACTGAGTGCGTAGGGCCTTGGAGCTGGGCAAGGCTGTGGGAGCCTTGATGGGGTGCCTGCTCTGGGATGCTCTGTCCCTCTTCTGAGTGGCATTTGCCTGAAAGTTACTTGGGCAGGGCCTGTGTTTGCTCCAGATGCTCCTAGCAGCTCTGTCCTCAGTGTTTGTACTGTGAGCTTCATCCAGAGCCTGTCTCATCCCCTGGAGGCGTCCTCTCAGTAATCAGCCCTGTTCTTGTCTCCTCTGCCAGCTCCCCAGACTTAGAGTTTGAAGACGACCACCCACCTGCACCATAGAGCCCACCTTGGCTCTGTCGGTGTCCCCTGAATCTGGTCTCATCTGCTTTCTGTCTTCTAGAAAGTCCCCCACTGTGCTGGTGGCACTTTTCCTAGTTTTTCCAGACTTCTGAGTATTTGCTTCACACTCATCCTCCCATCCCATAGAAGGAGTGTGAGGGTAGAAGGTCTTGGACGTGTTTTATCAGCCTATCTTGATCCCAGTAGGAAAAATGGTCCGTGAATGAATCAGCAAGGGCTCTGTGGTGGACTCTCAGGGTAGGGAGGCAACCAAACCAATAAAAATCTTCTAAAACTGGGCGGCTGGGAGGAGCACAGGTGGACTGGTTTAGTTATAGTGCTGATCCCTGCCTGTGTGAGAGCGCCTGTAGTCCCGTGAGGTCAGGGTGTCCTTGGGGCTGTGCAGTAGCTCAGCAGCAGACTGTCCCTCTCTTCAGGCGTAACCTAGCTGATGGGAGTTAGGTCACGGCGGCATCACTGTTAGAAGAGAACGTGATGTCTACCTTGTGTTCTAATCCTGACTCTCAAAGAAAACCTGGCTCAGCTCTCCTGGACACTTGGCCAGTCATGAGGACGGAGGGTATTGGGAAGCATCCCCAGAGGAGAGGGAGCCCCTGGGAGGGGGCTGCAGGGAGCTTTGGGTTGGGGAGCCCCACCCTTCCTCTTGCCTTGGGCCTGAGCAGTTGAT